AAGTTATAATACCCTTGTGCACAAGTGCGCTCGGGTATAAAAAGCTGCACACATATGCAACAATTTTCATTCTAATATTTTTCCGCTGATTTCGTATAAAAATATGGTTCATTCTACAATAAAAAACATAAAAATATAATTCCTAANAAATATAATTCCTAAACTTTGTCCAAAACTCGCGAAAATTCAGCAAATTTTCATGAAAATTTTTAACTTTTTAATCAGATTTTTTAGAATTTTTTTGATTTCGATGAAAATTTGCTGAATTTTGGCGAGTTTTGCACAAAGTTTTTTGTTGTTGAATGAACCATATTTTTATACAAAATTTGCTGTGCCAATACTTTGATCCGGCAGTGTATGTAAAACTAGAATGCTGCTGGCCATCAAACGCGGCATAAAATCTTGGTGTATAATAGAGTACTATTATTAATTAACTTTTGAATACATTGGGTGTATTTTTAGTTGGACATCAATTATCAATTTGAGGATTGGCAAGGTTGCCCGATTCCATAATGGTGACTTTCAGTTCTAAAGGAATTCTGTCTGGCTCTCAAGTTTCTTCCCAGCAGAAAGCTTTCCGAAATTGAATGCATATTTGCAGGGAGTGAAACCTTTAGTTTGTGTATAAGGCCTTCGAGTGATCTGTGTAACTTTTGATGGGAAACGGGTTATATTCAAACATAAAAAATCTAGGTTTCCAAGAATTTGCATATGACATTGAAAATACCATTCCGATACTATGCATTAGTTGCGTTCCAGATGCTTCACGATTTGCAGGTTTTTACAGAAAGCCGTTCCAGGTGGCCACCTTCCACAAGGTTTATTAATGGAGAAAACAGCTGTTCCTGGAAATCGTGAATATCGTGAAGCATCGGGAAAGCAACTATTATTTACATCAAAAGTGAATAAACACAAAGCAGTAGTGTGCTACAACCAAGACCTTTGCTAGAACTATCCAAAGTGATCAGATGGGAAAACACCATGACAAGGGGATCACCGTGAGCGTAAACGGCGAGACTTTGGTAGCGCTGAAAAGTATGTACGTATGTAGGTTCACTCTTTCGATTGTCTTTAATTCACAAAATCGCATTATATACATATGTAGGACATTATTTTATTTATGTAGAATTAACAAGCACTTTTAAAGTCTTGTTCGAGAGTTAGTTAACGCTACTCGGGAAATGCATACATACATATGTATTTAAATATAAACTTATTTGAAAGCTAAGCTAATTAAATATTCTCTTTGCCGCTATCAGTATCCTCCTTTTCATCCTTATTACCTTTATTAGATGTACAATTCCCCAGAATTGCATCCACTTCGTCGCATTGCTTATTTAATTCTTCAATTGTGTCTTGAACTTGTGCTAGTGTGTTTAGGAAATCATTAAGGTGCACGGCGCTGGTACGAAGTATTTTTTCTTTATTACGCAAAATATCAAACTCATTATTTTTATGATAATAATCATAGTTGTTTATACAATAGCGTGTATGCCGTTGCAAGTCGGTGATCTTTTCCATTGCTTGTTCAATAAAAGAATTCATGGCGAATCGTTCTAAAAGTACTATAAAACATATCGTGAGGTAAATAGTAATCATATAATTGGTATATAAACTTACGTTTAAAAATGTCCACTTAATGCAAAATTTATCTTTATTTTGTTAAATAAATTTTCGAAATGACTTGCAACCGATGAAATTCGCGGGCACAAACTGTCAGAATTTTGCGTCCAGTCGCTTAGGTTCGTTTAATGAGTAAAATCAGCTGTGGCGAACGTCACTAAACTGTTCCCAATTTACCTTGGGGTACGTTCAGTGAATGGACACCAAATTACAAAAAACAAAACAAATTTCGCTTAAAAATTGTTTATTTAATGATTTTCAGTTCAGTAAACACTAAAATTTTAGGTACTTGCCAAGTAGTTTTAAAATGTTAAGTACTTGCCAAGTACTTTTAACGTTTAAATGCAAAATCTATAAAATATAACCAAGCTTATAAGGTGTCAATACACAAAAATCAGATTTTCGGGCATAAAGTAATCAGGTAGAATACAAAATTTAATTGAGTCAAACCCGCGAAACAAAACAGTGCTTAACCACCTATAATGCTGAAGGCTCATGGCATTTGTGCACAGCTGTCAAAACGAGTTTGTTTTGACATATGGCGGATCGCTCAAAAGTTTACAGAAAGCAGAGCACGTGGTGACTTTCTAACAAAAATTCGCAAAAATACTATACTTTCATAATTTAAATAGAAAATAAAATGGTAATAATGAAAGCTAAAAGAATAAAGAAACCATTCAAATCGCAAAAGTTTCGCGTAATGCGAGGCTCAACGAAAAAGATGCCGCAATGAGGAGCCGCACAGCGAGGTGGTTCCTAAAGAAATACGCATAATTGCGCAGGAGGTGGAAATTGTCCGTTCGCTTGCATGTAATGATCTCAATAAACGAAATCGTCAAATTCGAAAACTACGAAGTGGTTGCAGTACGCGCGAGCAGTTCTTTTCCGTTTACAGAAGAGAATTTTCTACGCATATGGAAGGGTCTTTACTATAACATGTGGATGTCAGATAAACCCCTGGTTCAAGAAGATTTAGCCGAGCAACTGGGAAAACTAATTGAGTGCTTCGATGGCGACGTTGCAACTAGTGTGAATTTTTTTGGTGCCTTCATGCGGACAATGTGCAACGAGTGGTTTGGCATCGATCAATGGCGCATAGACAAGTTCATGATGCTTGTCCGTCGAATGCTGCGTTACATGTTCCGTGTTCTTAAAAGTGATGGTTGGACCGAGGATTCCATCAAGCTATTCAATGAGCATATGCAGTTGACAATTTTAGGGGATGAGAGCCCAGCCGTTGCATTAACAATGCATTACTTAGACATTTTCTTCGAAGAACTAGCAAAAGTGTCGGATGGAGATATCAGCGCAGAACAAGTGGGATACTTTGTTCTCCCGTTCGTTACCTATTTAGGAAAGGGCCGCGACGCTAAATTAGTTTCACACTGTCGTTTACAAGTGCTGAGTCATTTGCTTTACCAAAGTGCTTTGGGACGCGAATACACTGAGAAATTCAATTCATGGAAACATATGGGTTTCCCAACTGCTTCCATAAACGATTTGGAAAAAGTCGAAGAAGATAGTGAAAATATAAAAGACGAAACTTCGGAAAATGATGACGATAATAATGAAAAGGAGAAGCACTTAGATCCGCGTGCTGGAAACGTTGACGTTATTATGCCAGAACTACCATTAGATGCTAAATATGTCATCGAAGAACTGGAAAGACTTATCTATAAAGATGATGAGATCAGCACTAAGATTAGAAAAAGTTTGCGAAAGCAATTGGGTATTTTCCAAACTTATCAGCGCGGCGAATTCCCACTTGGTGTAAAGAGGATGCCACGCTTCGAAGCAAAGACGGATAAACCTTTGATGAAGGACAAAATCGAGCAGTTGGAAAATGTAGAAAATGAACTTTTTGGTGTGGGGCGAAAATTAAAACAGCTTAACAAACGAAAACGGCGCAAATTGCTCAACAGCCTAAACTTCGAAGAAGTAGATGAATCCAATTTTGATCAAACAATTCTTAAGGCACTACCGAAGCAATACCTTAAGGAGCGAAAAAGGAAAGGAACTTGCTTATTGAATGGTTGGGTAGAAGAAGAAATCGGTTCCGAGGATTTGTTACCTAAGAAAAAACAAAAAAATAAGACCAATATCGAAAAGGTGGACACAGAGACCCAAAAGGCAACGGTTCAGGAGGGAAAACAACCAATCGAGCAACAAACAGAAGAACTGAAATCGAGTAGGCAAATCAGCAATGAAATTGAGGAAGCACAATCCGAGACCCTTAAAGTTAACAAGGAAAAAGCAGTAAAAACACGCAAATTGGATAATAAGGAAGGAAAAACAAAGGATAAACCGCAAAAAGACCCAGAAACACCGGAAAAGCAAACGAAGTCGGAGTGGGACACACCATTAGCTGAGGGTGAAATAGAATATTTCATACCATCAAGAAAGATTCAATTAAAAAATGCCAATGCCAATCTTGTGCCTAATCCGTTGGCGAAAAAAATGCAAAGCAAAACATCTACACCTGTTAGCTCAAAAAAAGGCGCCAGCATAATGAATTCATCAACAGGCAGCGTCAAACGTGTGAAAATTGCACTCAAGCGCAACACCTCCCAAAATCCAAGCGAGTACATAAAACAAATCAAGAGTTCGCCTCATTTACCATACGATGCAGACAAGAAGCCTGGAAAGGGTTTACTGAAACCCAATTCAATGCCCAGCCCCATCAATCCATTTTATAAAAAGAAAATTGGACTACGCTTAGCGAATGATACAATTTGAAATGTGTTGAGCTGGCGATTTGGGTAATTTTTTATATGTATTTAAATTCTGTAGAAGTTAAGTAATTTTAACTAATATGTAATTGAACTGTCTCAATTAAATAAACAGTTACAACTAATTTAACACGTGTAAAATAAATACGTTTTATCTTTATTTTGTTTATTTATAATGCATGCACTAAAATTCCTATGAAAACATTTATCGAATTCCCTTGTTTAATTGTACTGAGAACCTAGTCGAACTCAAACACAGGTTTACCCTCGTTGTCCCATGTATTCTTGCATTTACGGAAGGCGCATACTAGATACAGTGCTGGAAAAAAACATCACATTTTGACTCAACCAAGCGATTGTAGTAAAAAAGAGAGGGCTACTCTGTGATGCGATGCGATAGGCAATCGCCACAGCATATAACATATAGCGTATTTGCCTTTCACATCGCATTACAGAGTATTTTATAAAAACATCAGCAAATGTTAACGAAACTAAAATTTAAAAATTTTTTGACTTGTGACTTACTTGTAGCTTCCCATTCCGACTTGGAAAGCGTTCCCACGGGCTTTGATGGACTGCCGTTATTTTTTAAATGCCGAAACTCGGGATCTTTCCAACAGCGATTTGGATACACAGTTTCCAGGCCATTCATGCGTTGTAGTAGCTGTCGACCTACAAAATAGTCGTTTTTCTATATGTACTTTTTGGATTTGCATTTTTTCTTACCCTTTTCCAAAGACTCCTTGTAGTAGTCAGCAAAAGTCGTTTTACGTTCAAGTTTTAAGCCATGTTTACGACACAGTTTTACCAAAGTTGGAAAGTGTACCAAAAATTCTGGACAATCGACTACGCCTTCCAAATGAAATTGATATTTAGCACCAAAAAGTGGTGGTGGATCTGTGTCACATGTAAACTCGATTTTGTAAAGCTCATTGCCGATACTGCGAGCATTTGGTGACTGACGCAAACGGCGCATTATTTCATTTGCATCCGGTATGGTCGCTATAAAATAACCACCTGGCTGCAGACATTCGGCTGCATTGCGTACCATGCATTCTGCTTGAGTAAGTGACTCAAAAGAGTAGTGAAATGCAAATTGACATGAAACCAAATTCAATTTCAGCGACTTATCCTTGTAACGCTCGCGTAGACGCACCAATGTTGCATCACAAGCAAAGAATTCAGCTGAAAACTTGTTTGCGAATTTTGTTTTGTCTGCTCGCGATTGCATTTGCTCATATCGCGATTTGCATTGATCCACCGACACCTCGGCGATATCGGTACATATAA